TTGAAATAAGTCTGATGCAACGCCCAACAGTAGCGGCAAAGAAGATGGGGAAGAGGGTTGGGATCTGTTCGGTATCGTATGTCAGGACAGTTCGACGCAGCCCTGGGGAGACTTACAACAATCCTGGCCTGGGACAAAACGCCGTATCCATTGAAAGCAATGGTTTCCCGTATCGCTCCGTGACTCCGCGCAATTGTTACAGCAAATGCAGTGAGAGCAAGCCAGACGAAAAGGAGAAGCAAGTCACCAGCCACGGAGAACAAAGTGACCGTTACTGGGTGCTTCAGCGCTATGGGTCCTTGTGGCCAGCTTGGATTCACCGGTTCTGGCTTGGGCAGTTCAGGTTTGGCATCAGACTTTTCACGAGTCTCTAAGAGAGGGGCTTCGAATGAAGGTTGCGGCGAAGAAGAGCGGTGGAAGCTGGCAGAGTGATGGTCGTCATAAAGTGAGCCACCTGTGGCCTGGCAGCATCTGGCCCGTAGGAATAGCATCTGTTGGTCGATGATAAGCTAACCGTGTCGTCCGAGTTTCGAGAAACAGCATCAGTTCCTGCAAGTACCGTCATTGTAGGATTTGAGATCTGCGCCGCCCTCGATAGAGGGAATATCTTCTTCGTTGTATGCGAGAGATTCTGTGTCTTTTAAAAACATTCTCGCTAATTTTTTCCGCATTACACTGCGCTAAAGCACGGAATCTCAATGCAGGCTGGGTGATAGCTCACACCCAATTCTCAAGTACCTACCTGACCTAACCAGTTTCGTCCAGTTGGGCCGCCGAGCTGGTTGCCAAAAACAGCATCTTGAGGCAGGCTGGGCCAAGAGAATTGCCACCCTGGGTCACCAAAGGCTTCAACACCCTCCGAGCGGTCCATTGTTTACCTTCCCCTACTGTCCCTCACATCTCATCTCTCAAAACTCTTGAGACTACTCTATTCATATGACCTACTCGAGTTCTTTTCCAACCTCCTCGGCCCGTTACCGTCATCGCCCACTACAACAATTGCAACATGACCATGCTCATCCCAGCCTGGGACATATCCCCGTATCTCACCCGAACATTCCTCAACAACTTCCCGCGATCGGTGTCGCTTAATGCAAACCCATTGGCCGGTATATCCGTGAAGGGATTGTCCCTAGTTAAGGTCGTAAAGTTCATTGAAAGCTGTGGGCCTCAAATAAAACAGGCCGCCAGAGCGCACCACATCAACAGTGCTATTCCCCTTGTCGATGACTCTGATGGCCTGTCGAGTCTCTCCGAACGTGTAGTTGCCCCGGCCAGGATCCAGGACGTAACCTGTTGCCGCGGTGGCGATCCAGTACGTGGTTTCGATGCCTAGCATGCGAGCTAGATACGTGCTGAGAACCGAGGGACGGGAGGCTCGGCCGGGAACTGCCTCGTGCAGGCCTGTGAGGTAGGATGAATAATCTTCAATGTCTGTCTCCTCGTCGAGGAATGTGTGGTTTGATGTCAAGTGTGGCCTCAATGACTGCCTCACCCCCGAGGCGACGCACGATCGCCTTTGACAGGTGACTTCGGTCTCGACGTAGGTTGTTCGAAGCAGGCAATCCGCCGTAACGTGCTTCCAATATGCAATGTCAAACACGATACGCCGAGACTCCCATTGAGGACGAGTTTGGTTGTAAACTATCATCAGTTCTCCGATCCAGCGTCAAGTCCGACTCGAAACCTGCCCGTGATTGCTTCCCCCTTTGTGGGTTGGTCCACAGTTTCAGCGCAGGGTGATAAAGCCCACGCCAGGGCAAGAAGTCGGGCGATGAAGCTGCCGCTCAACGTGGCTCGGGTAAACGCAGCGGCGAGAGCGCCCATGAAGGTCGTGCTTCCGATAAGTCGATCGAGAACTTCCAGGCGCTCGCCTCGCTCGACACGGTACATGGAAAGAAGTTTTATACGCCGTCCAACGGTAGCAGTGAACAGAATTGGAGACAGCGTAGGAATCTAAAAAATTGAACGATACGTAAAGGGTCAGATGGTGAGAAAACGTCAACAAGCGGCATACCACGAAACCTTGAACATATTACAATCCTGCCCCTGCGCGAGAGCTTCATCACCAAATACAATATCTCTCCGTGCTACCCCGTCGCTGTTCAGAACCGCAATGCCGAATGCGAGGATGGCAAGCCATGCGCAGAAAAGAATCAGGTCTCCCAGAATGGAGAATATAGCCGATAAAGTGAACCGCTTCAGAGCCTGCGGCTTGCGCGGCCAGTCTGAGATGGTTTGGGCCTGGGGTTGTGAAATTGGATTATTTGGTTCGGGATTCGGACTCGGAATAGATACTTGTAGGGGCAAGTGAGTCTGCTCTGGCAGTCGAGTCACTTCGAAAGCTATCATTGTCTATCCGAGAGCACTGGATTGCTGCATCAAGATGTAAAGATGTCATTTTTGCTGCCTTAGCCCGCAGGGGCCAGCCCGTACCTGAGGGAACCTGGACCCGAATGGCGATGGTAAATCTCTTGAAAACAGGTGTGACCGGGAAGATAAATGTGAGGGGAAAGGGGTCTGGCTGGAATCCTGATAAAACGGAGATAATATGTCACAATCTTACAGTCGCTAGCTAGATGCGAAGGATGAGTTCCACCGAAACAGGAAAAGAAAAAGGGATTGGTGAGAAGTATGCATGTTTTAAAAAAGGGGGAAATGACGGCAATGCTATGGCATCCCACGATCAAATTTAGGCACAGCACAACCTACCTACCTGCCTACTCCTTCAGGCCCCCTCCCGGCCCAGCAGCACTCAAAAACCCAAAATCAGCCCCCTCCTCCGCCTGATTAACCTCCCGCATGTACAACCCCCTATACCCCCTAACCCTCCCCCTGCTCTCCCAGACACCTTTTTCTCCCTTCTTCTTCCTCTCCTCCAGCCTGCTCCTAATCTCCTCCTCGCTCAGCTCAACCCCAACCCACCTCTTCTCCAAATCAATCCCCACCAAATCCCCATCCCTCAGCACGCCCAAAACCGACTTCGGATCGGCAGCCTCGGGACTGACGTGCAGCACTATCGTCCCGCCCGCGGTCCCGCTCATCCGCCCGTCGCTTATCCTCAGCATGTCCTCCACCCCTTGCTCGGCCAATTTCCTCGGAATAGGAATCAAGCCGGCTTCGGGCATTCCCGGGTTTCCTACCGGCCCGATATTCTGCAGGATGAGAACGGAGTCCTTGTCTACTTTCAAATCGGGAGAGTCGATACGTTCTGCCAGGTCGGCGGACCCCTTGAACACTACTGCTTTCCCCTTGTGTTGGAGCAAGTGTCTGTATTTCGAGGCGGACGCCTTGATGACTGCTCCGCCGGGGGCCATGTTCCCCTCCGAGAGTATGACGAGGGAGGAGGAAGGGTACAGCGGGGAAGAAAGCGGGTGGATGATTTTTGAGAGGTCCGTTCCGGGGGGTAAAGGGCGATAGGGGGTAGAAGCGAGTTCCTCGCCTAGGGTTTTTCCCGTGACTGTTAGGGCGTCTAGACGGAGTAAAGGTTTGAGCGTGTGTAGGAGGGCCAGCATCCCGCCCGCGTTGTGGAAGTCGGTCATGTAGTTCCGGCCCGAGGGTTTGAGGTCTACCAGCAAAGGGACGGAGCGGCCGATCTCGTCGATCGTCTTGAGGGTGATGCCGGTGCCTGCCAACTTTGGGTGGCGGTTGATGATTGCCATCAAGTGGACGATGGCGTTTGTTGAGCCGCCGATGGCTTGGAGGACCGTGATGGCGTTGAGGAATGATTCTTTGGAGAGGAGGGTTTGAGGACGCAGTTGGGATTTGGCGAGGGACACGGCGATGGCGCCTGTTGATTCTGCTATTCGGAGGCGGGAGGAGGACACGGCCGGTGCTGTGGCGGAGGGGAGGGAGATGGGCATGAGGCCGAGGGCTGAGAGGAGACAGGCCATGGTTGATGCCGTGCCCATTACTCCGCATGTTCCTGCTGTGGGGGCTAGTTCCTCGTTGAGAGCGCTGATGTCTTCCACGTCGAGGGTTCCCGCTCGGAATTTGGCCCAGTTGTTGCGGCAGTCTGTGCATGCTCCGATTCGAGCGCCCTGAAAACTGCCCGGCATCATGGGGCCGGTTACGAGGTGGATGATGGGTTTGTTGGCTGAGATGCCTCCCATTAATTGTGCTGGGGTGGTTTTGTCACAGCCTGGAATGGTCAGCAATCAAAATTCAGAACCAAGTGTCAGGGGAAAGGGAAAGTGATGCTTACTTACCCCCTATCAACACGACAGCATCTACAGGCTGTGCCTGGATCATCTCCTCGGTGTCCATGCTCATCAGGTTCCTCAAGTACATGCTTGTTGGTGAAGCAAAAGACTCGTGGAGACTAATGGTTGGAAAGTCTATGGCTAATCCGCCGCTCAGCTGAACTCCTCGCTTCACGGCATCGATGAGCTGTGGAATGTTGGCATGACAGGGGTTGAAGCTCGAGTATGTGTTGACGATTCCAACAATGGGTCGAGAAAGAGCATCTTCGCTGTAGCCCAGAGCTTTTATAAAGAGTTTCCTCATGAAGAGGGAGAAGTGTGGGTCACCATAGGATGCCAGCTTCTGTCGGAGACCAACACCGTTGGGGTCGATTGGTTTGGAGAGGTCATAGTCTGCGTTTGGTGCCTCTGCCATGATTTCCGTCTTTTTTTCCCTCTCTGGCGTGCCTTGCGAGTTCCAAGTTGCTGAGAGACTTGGAGAGAGTGAGACTTTTCACTTACATCAGAAAAGTCACAGTTAAGGCGCATTCGGCGTTACAATGCATGACGCCATTCAACCCGCACAGCATGCAATACTTTGCAGTACCCAGCACAGAAGGCAGCATCTTCAAGAAAGTGAGAAGCTCTGTACTCTGAATACTTTTCCATGAGTCTCAGAAACGGTTCAAACTTTAACAACTGCAGATTGACTAGCTGGCATATAATATGATCAAGTTACAGGTTAGATATGTAATCGTCTACACAAAATGACCGTTGCCGAGTCCTGCCAACACCCATATGATGCGGCTTATATATACAGGGCGTGTGGCTCAGTTGGTAGAGCGCCCGCTTAGCAAGTTTCACACAAGCATGCGGAAGGTCCCCGGTTCGATTCCGGGCTCGTCCACAACCAATACCTGCAATTATACACCGTGCTTCTTTTTGCATTTTTTCCTTCTTTCCCTGTGAGAAGAACATCTTCTTGGGAGCACGGTGTTACTTTGCTGACAACTAACTTTTCCCTTTGTTCTATACATGAACGACCAATCACATATTAACTTCAAGCGCACCGACGCCCAACAAAACACCTCGGTTTATCTGCCCGATTAGCTCAGCTGGTTAGAGCGTCGTACTAATATCATCTTTCCCTAGATATGTCCAGTAATGCGAAGGTCAACAGTTCAATCCTGTTATTGGGCATCAGCTTTATCTTTTGCCCATTTCCCCCCTACTCATTCTTTTGTTAACCAAAAAAAAATGGGAAAGAAGCTTTTCGCAGCCAAAAACCAGCATCTCCTTGCTTTCGGCCAGTCCGGTCCGGTCCAGTACCCCCACTCACACACACACAAGCAAGAAAATTTTCAACCCACTCTCCCACCCAAAATGCCGCAAAAACACTCCAATCCCACCCACCCACAACACGATAATAACCAAGAGTTTAAAACCACAATCCCGGAGACCAACAATCAATCAACCATGGCCCACGGCTTTCTTATGAAGAAGAAAGCCCGGCTAGCTCAATCGGTAGAGCGTGAGACTCTTAAGGATATAAAAGATCAAAAAGGATTCTCCGTAAATCTCAAGGTTGTGGGTTCGACCCCCACGTCGGGCTCAATTCCCGTCCAACGATGTGTGGCCATCTTTTTTTCTTTCTTTTCAGTGTTGGTTTTTGTTTTGAGTGCGCCTGTGTGTGTTGTGTTACCTACCCCTGAGTCAGTGTTGCGTTGCTGTGTGATTTGATCTTGTTGACATGTAAGGGGGGGGTTTGACTAGGGAGCCAATCAACAACAAGCTTCCAATTTTTGTCTCACACCGTAATACCGCTGTAGATTTCTCAATATGATTGTATTGCGCGCAGCACATACATGCTTCTTCCGCTCATTGCGATGAAATGCTGTTTGCAGTCCGAATCTGAGATGCCAGGAGATATCGGCCGCATTTCGGCATCTTCAATCTTTAACCAACTCTGTTTCCGGACTACACATCGTCACCTCTCTGACCCCCTTTTTCCGTTTTGGGTAATCAGCTTAGACAGGCTCTGGTCCAGAACCGCTCGCTCGGTTTCTGAAAGAAGAACAATGAAACCCAAACCGTACCGTGCTTAACACCACAACCTGAAGTCTCATGACATCAAGAGTGGAAACAAAGAAAGCTTCATAGCTATTAAAATTGAGAAACTCTTGCGGTGATGCATTTACAGTCGCCATGCCGCGGGATACGCTTTCAACTACGCCAACCCTACCATAATAATAATCATCACTGACAAACACATACTGTGATAACTGACCGAAGAAGACCTTCAAAATGGAACCAAGACCAGCCGGCGACCGCCCCCTCATAGGCGGAACAGCCCGAGCCTGCCACGTAATCCTCCGCCTCTTCGAGTTCGCCTGCAGCGTCATCGTGCTCGGCCTCCTCTCCAGAGCAATCTTTTTGATCAACCAAGCCGACATCTCGCAGGACGGCAGAATCCTCTACGCCGAAGTGACGTCCGTCATCAGCACGCTCTTTTCTCTGCTCTTCGTCCTGCCGTTTCTTTACGCTTACATGGCTGCTCCGTTTGACGCAGTCATGTTTATGATGTGGATGGTTGCGTTTGCTCTGTTGGCTGCTGTAAGTTTTTTTGGTTATTTTTTGGTTTTTTTTTCAATGACTCCCGTCCTCTTTTAAATACTATGTGGGGAGTGAGGAATGCTGATTTTTGTCGTGAAAACAGAGAACTGGCACGGCAATGTGCAATTCCTGGTGGTACTGGAACTACTGGGGATGGGCCTGGGGGAAGTGGTACGTCGACGGGATCCCCAACCCGGCATGGAGTTGGTATAATGCTCCGGGCTGTGCGTCGTACAGAGTTGTTTTGGCCTTTTCGTTCATGGCTTCGATTGCTTATTTGTTGAGCGCGATTCTGGGTGGGATCATTACGAGCCGGTATTGGAATAAGGATAAGCCTTTGTAAGTGTAGTGACACAACGTGATGGAGTGAGTGAGTGCCTAGTAAGCTGACAGTGAGGGATAGGACGGCTAGGGATATTTCGGCTCCGCTTGCGACCAACCCGCCTCTCATGTCACAGACTCAGGCTGCCCAGGCTCCTCCGAGACCTGCACCTCCAGCTGAGACTACTGCTGGGACTGCAATTGATGTTGAAAGGGGTTGAACGGCTGATGGGATGTTCTTATGGGGTTCATTCAGTCTTCACAACCAGATTGTTGAGTGAAGAATAATCGTTGGAATTGTAATGGTTTTGCGAGCCTGGAAGTTACTATTCTTCTTGTTGTCAGATTGGACCAAAGATTGATAATATCTAATAAAACCACAAAGTCAAAAAGAAAAGAAAAAAGAGAAAAGAAGAGAATCCCAGCAAAAGGGAATGCCCAATAACAGGATTGAACTGTTGACCTTCGCATGACTATTTATAACCGGAAAGTTATATTAGTACGACGCTCTAACCAGCTGAGCTAATCGGGCAGATGAACCGTGGATGGAGAGATGATGGGGACCATCGTAAAGCTTCATATGAAGTCGGAATCCGAAGTCGTTTTGTCCCTACTTCCTCCGATCTCCAAGCCTCAACCTTGCTCCAGGTTCTCCGGGCCGAATATCTCGATATCCACTTAGATGTCGGGACGAATGTGGAGCCTTGCGTTCGGGGACTACCCGAACGGTATCCGTAGTTGCCCGGAGGTGAAGACGGGGACCCTGTTTATCTTTTGTGACAGTTTTTATTGACCAATGGATTGCGTACCCTTCACTCTTTTATAAAATAGAGCTGAAAGACGGAGAAGTTGGTTCCGCATGTTTTTGTTCATGGTGATATTCTGTCTAAAGTCTAAACAGGCGAAATTCAAGAGTAGCGAGCTCGGAGTGTTAAAACAACGATTTACGTAAATCCGTTGGCGGGCGGCTTGGTCGAGATAGGTAGGTGGTTTAAAGTAGCGCCATCAACAAATGGGTGCCGTTTCCTGCGCCCCAGTCGACGCTACAGTTCAGTGACGTCGTTTCTCTATTCTTGGCACCACCATTGAGATTGCGATGAGACACAGCCCGACTCTCACCTTCTTGACCTTGATGAGAAAGGAAGAGAGTTGGGGAAATGGAGCAAACAGCATCCGGCCGGCCTAGGAAAATTAACAGAGCTGCCCGGAATATTGAACAGCTGTCAAGAAGTGAACCAGAGTCGGGAAATGCGATGCGACTTGCCAAGGGACGGAATACTGGGAGACTGCAGACACCAAGACCTGCACTCACGGCTTCCGAACCCTTCACATGCACGAGATGCAATGGTGAGATTCCACATGCTTGGTTTCAAAGACCTGATTTGGAAAGTCTTGGACCTCAAATAAATCGCTAGCGCGGGGAAAAAAGATGGAGGAAGGGTATGGTTACACGGCAGTGACGGCACCGACGCCGGCGCCGCAGCTGCCTGCCAGGATGGGACCCAGGATCGTTGACACCCAACCCAAGAATCACCTCATGGCGTCCTGGGATGACATTGAGAGCGCGGGGAAACAGAGCCCCTCAGCCATGATTATTGCGCCAGGCCATGTCCGTCGCTGACATTTTTGGATTACAATACCCAAGAGATAAGGAATGTGGGGTGGACTAAGGGAATCCCCCTCCGATCAAACAACGGATGTGGTCCAGACACATGGCAATTATTGGATGGTGGCGAAATTGAGGGAATGGGAGGAAAAGGGAATTGTGAGAATACGGAGCAGCCGAGGACGTGATGTTTTTTTTTGTCGAATGCAGATGATGAAAATGCAATCACCGCGGAGTGTCGCAGTCACAGTGAACAAGACGCGGGTCGCATGTCCATTTCCCTCGTTGAGGTTGGGCACAGCGGGAAGAAACGGGTGGGGTGGAGTTGGTTGGAGGGAATTGGCAACTGCAATGGCGTGGTTTTGGTGCCGCCAGTCCTGCAGCCCCAACTCCGGAGTTCGGGGGTCCTGTTCAAGGCAGAGACCTGATTGGTGCACCGTGCAGACTTCGTGGGGAACCTTTTGTGGTGCACCAAATTCCGAGAGCTTGTGAAAACCCCCATTTATCTGGGCTCTCGCACATCCATCCGTCGGGGGTCTCGAGTCTTCTCTCTTCTGCCTCAAGCGTCCAACTTGCCAACCGCTCAATTCTCCTCCATCGACCTGTCCTTTACGCCCTTCCAACAATCTACCATTTTCTCGCGTCAATTCGCACCCGATTTTCCCCCAAAACAACAGCCATCGTTGTGAGGAGAAAAAAGGCTTGAGCGGCGCAACCGGAGCTTCGCACCACCCCTCGATTGTAACCTTGATTCGCCAACAAAGGCAAACTCAATACCCTACCAACACACAATATTACAAGATGTTTGCCACCAGAGTTCTCCGTCAGGCTGCTGCCCACGCCGAGCGCGTCCCTTCCATCAGATTTGTTGGAAAGCGGACTATTCCCTGTATGTTTCTTTCGAGGCAGAACTTTTCGGGTTCCTCGGTAAACTGACAAGACTTCCTTGGCACAGCTCAAATCGACCACAGCCGTCAGCCTCACCCCCAGTCTCCCACCCACGCCCTTCCTGCCTCCTTCACCAACGGATCTTCCCACACCTCTTTCAGCGCCTACCGTGACCATGCCCAGCAGTTTGGTCCCCTTCGCAAGACCATCACCCCTGAGGCCGGCATTGGCGGCGCTGCTGGCTCCCAGCTTGGCTCAGTAGCCCCTCCTGCCGGCGTCTTCTTTGATCGCAACGATCTCCCTACTCGCTTCCACAGGACTTCTCTCTCCCCCGACGAGATTGAGGCCATCGAGAGCGGTGGTGCCGCAGCTTTCGCTTAGGCGCCCCGTGAATAATGACGGCGTTATTACATTATTCCTTTTTCAAATCTTTGGCAACATCACCTGAAACGGGATGAGCCATTCTTTTCTACTTGATTATTTAGCGAGGAAACTCCACCACCATCAGCGAGTCACTCGAAAATTCCCGAGATGACACCGCAAAGATACCAAGGAGATCATCAGGACAGATACACGCAGTATTGCACAGTGGAAACTGTACAGATCGAAAGGGCCACCAAAAATGCATCATGGGGCGCGTATCAAAAAGGACTGGATCACGGCACGGCAAGGCACGGAACACAAAACATGGGCTTGTGGCAGCACATCCTGCCTTTCTTTTGTTTATATATACAGGCGCATCAGTTATTGTGTAGGACATGAAACAATGTCCAGTGTTGGTTTTGAGGGCAGGGTGTACAGATGAGGCATGAGATGGAAGAGGAAAGGGCATATGAGAGGCTTGGGTCTCAGTGATATGGGATTGCAATGCCTCCAATGCTGGCTTCCGGGGTGGTAGCACATAGTTGATAGGCAGAGGAGAGTCAATAAAAAGACAGTTCAAAATTCACTTTTCTGGTGTTTCCTTGTGCTTCCTTGTGATCATGGCTACCGTGGCCTCGGGTTTCCCCAATTTCAGGAGGAGCACAGTGACACATGAGTTACGTATTAGCTCGGGAGGATTCGGAATGACTTTCTTGGTAGGAGGAGCCATTCAGTCTTGGACTTTGGTAAGAAATCTACCAGGTAGGTAGTTGAAGTCGAATACAAGGAAGGAACAAAACGTTCCAAAATATTTAAGACAG